CCCCCCCCCCTTCAGTCTTGCATTCCTGACCCTGTCTTTAACACAGTCACACACACACTGGACTCTACATTCAGACAAACCCCAGAGTCAGAGAAACACATGATTTAGGCGAGTGTCTCAATCAGATCCCTTCTGTTTGGATGCCTATTAGCACTAGTTCAAGTAAAATATTCCCTCCGAGACATGTCTCCACATACGGGTACAAAAACAGGCATTAATGAAAAGAGGAACAAAATATATAAACACATACACGTTAACTTTAATAATAATAAAAAAGAAAGAAACAGTCCAAGAAAACTGACGGAGGAAGCTCTAATGCCAGGCTCGCTGCTTCTGTGTCAGCTGATGATGCTCGACAGGCGGCATCAGGAATCACAGGAGCGGTCACAAACAACAGGAAACAGAGTGGATTATTAAAAACTGGCCAAGACAAGGAGTTGCGCTATAGAGGAGGAGAGACGTGGAGGCTGCAGAGCGGCTAGGAGAAGGAAGGAAGAAATGAAGGTACAAGTAGAGACAAGCAAGAGGACGTCCCCCAGTGTGGTAGGAGGGGACGCAGCAGGGCGGTGGTCCAGTTTGGCATGAGCGTTCTGCCTCAAGGGCATCTCTGTGGTGTTTGGCAGTGAGGCTCGGTGCTGCGATGGGACGGGGGGGCTGTAGCTGGGGTTCAGAGCTCCGGCGGTCCTCTCTCTCTCTCTCTCTCTCTCTCTCTCTCTCTCTCTCTCTCTCTCTCTCTCTCTCTCTCTCTCTCTCTCTCTCTCTCTCAGGAATTCATCAGTGCGTGTGTGTTTATTTTGACGTCCCCTCCCGTCCCGCGTCGGCATGTGATGACAGATGAGCTAAACCCACCTCACGAAGGGAGATGAGAGAGAACCGTGGAAGCAAACGCGCGCGGGCCGACACACACATGCAAACAAACACAGGAGCGCCAACGCGTGCAGACGTACATGCACAGGCAGATACAGACGCACGGGAATGCACACACACAGATAAATACACAGTGGCATGAAGCAAACCCAGTCTGTGGGGTATACAGTTAAGAGCAGCCAGTCTCTGAGTTTGACTTGTCATGTCTGTGCATGGATATGATTGCTCATGCCTGTGCAGCTTATGCGAGTTTGAAGAATGTTTTTTTATTTTCCCATAAAGTCGACCTGGTCCCTTCTCTTAAGTGAATCCTCAATGCGCCAGCGACGGCCTCCACGCCTGAACGTGACACCCTCCTCCGGCGAGGGGTCAGGTCACAGTTCCATTAAGGCCACAGCAGGGGGTCGGATCACCCGGTGTGAGGGTGTCACATAAGTCTGTCTCCGCTGTCACCTTGATGACCGCTGCTATGGTGAGCCAAAGCCTTGGTCAGGGGTCGCGCTAGATGCTGGGGCGTTGGCGGGTGGTGTCGTAAGAGCGCACTACCTGGGATTGAGACACGACACCGTGCTCCTCTTGAGAGAAGGCATAGCCATCTGCAGGGAGGAGGGAGGAACATGTATACATGAATGTTGGACTCCTGGATGATGTATTGCAGTGCAGTACCACACTTTACTTCAGTTTTTGATAAGTACTTTATGTGTTTGTGTGCAGACAAACCACTGCCTCAAAAATTACTAGACAGTTGAATAGGATTTCACAAATATGGTTTTCATTACAGGACTGTAATGAAATGCATATTGGAATGCTTAACTTTGTGTGTGTGTGTGTGTGTGTGTGTGTGTGAGAGTGTGTGTGAGAGTGTGTGTGTGTGTGTGTCCGGTCAAATATTGTTCGACCGGGGATCAATTTGTTGTTGTTTCTGGGCTAAAAAAAGAGAGAAATATGGAATAGTATGGCTTTCTTGCAATAGGCATTGGGAAGCTAAATTTGTGTTTTTAAGACTATTCCGTGTAATGACTGAATCCCAATGCTCTCTTTTAAGGCCTGTATTAAAGCAGGACTTTGATAATGTTCCAGGATGTGTAGAGTTGAGTAGAGGTGGAACGGACACTCACGTGACACAGTCTGCTGCACCGAGTTCGAGCGTCCCACGCCTGAAGGCGTTTTCTTAAAGACTCTTGTCAGCAGATGGGCCCGTTCGTTTAGACTGCAGAGAAAGGAAAGAAGGATGAGTTTCTCCACAGTGACGGCTCATAACCTCTTGATAATAACAGTATATAGAATTATTAAAGTGACTCTCCACTACGTACACTACCATTACTAGCTACTGGGATTGTTTTTTTTTTATTAGTGTCCATATTTCACCAATTTGCTTTCAGTTATGAGCAGTGGCAGGTTTAGCTGCTTTATGAGACTACCCACAGATTTAATGCAGCAGGATGATTAAAGTCATTTTTAAACCTTCAACTGTCGGAAGGATAGAAGACTAAAGTACATTTCTCCTTCATAGATGAACATAGAAACTCACAGATCGATGAACAAACTCAATTTAAGTGGATTAAAAACCAGAAAGTCGGTCTGAAGTGGATGGATACTGACGTGCAGTTTTAACCGACAGAAAGTCATACCCTGGCTGGGTAACAGGACATCCACAGTAAACTATTCCTCAGCCCCCCCCACTCCACTCCACTCCACTCCTTCTCCCCCTTTCCAAGAAGAAGACTGGCTCCTCTGTTCGGAGACCACACGCCGTCACGGCTCCTCTCCTCCTGTGACCAAAAATAACTAAACCCTTTCCAGATATTGCACACAAATGCAGGCATGCATACAAATGCATGCGCAAACACTTATTTAGTCGATACCTCTCTTGACGCCGATCAACGTCCTTACAGCCATTAAAAGGCGTTGGAAGTAAAAGCAACGGCACCAGCATCACTGATTGCCCCGTCAATAAGTCACTTTTTGCCAATTTTATTTGAAAGAATACGTTTTCTACATTTATCTGCCTATGGGGCGTTAAATTCACACATGCAGGGTTTCTCTGGCACTTGGGATGATCAACGGAGTAGCTATGGACAAGAGCCAGCCTTCCCAAGGTTAAGATCTGGATCAGGCAGTTAGGGAACTCTTAATACTGAATGGGACTGTTGGGAACCTTCACTACAGCGTTTGTCAAAAAGAAGAAGAACTAAAACTGAGGGGCTCTGAAGTTTGCTCAACAGGTTTTTGGCCCATAGAATGCTCTGTTAGACAGATGACTGATGCTGAGTGAATGATAAAAGACAATGGTGGCTGGAGAAATACATGAAAGGCTCATGCATAGAGTTTCTTTTTGGTTATCCTCCGATTCATAAAGATGTGCCTCGTTTGAACTCTTCCCTCCAGACGCTGCTGTACTCTACCCCAGGACCTACAAACACAGATGTGCTCTTTTCCACTTTGCTCCATTGCCTCCCTGTGCACCGCTACTTTGACTTTACTTTTCTTATTCTAGATGGAGAGGGGCCCAAGTGCCCAGGCCTGCTTTCCTGGGTTTAAAGCAGGGCCAGCACTTTTATTATTAGAACTGTGCAAAAATACTCTGTTACAAGTTAGTGTTGCATTCAAAAATGTACTTAACCTTTCAGAATGTAAAATGATTATATATATTGAATTATTTGATAGTAATTACTGATATATACATATGCACTGCATTTTAATGTTGTAACCCATTGAGGTGGGGTTAAATTAAACTACTTAATATATGCTGTTGGGTAGTTGTTTAGTATATTTATTGTATTTTAAACTATTATATCTGAAATCTGAACCTGCAAGTTCACTGCAGCTGTGAAATACCAATATTTCCCAATATTAGTAGAAGTAAAGCAGCATAAAATGTAAATATAGTACAAATACCTCAAGATTGTACTTGTAACAGTGTAGCTATAACTTAGACAAACCATTTCTACCACAGCTCTAGTGACACCACACCACTAAATCACAGAGAGAACTACAGATAGAATCAGAAAACACACCAGGTCTGTACAGCAATTCATATTGATCCACCTGTGAAGCAATCCACAGAGGGAGGAATGGAAACAAAAATGGACATAGAGAGACAAACCAAATGTAAAAATGATTCAGAGGACAAAGGGGAAGTAGTGATTTAAAGCAAAACGGAGAGAGAGGTGTGAAGTCAGTGAATGGAAAACAAGCGGAGGTCACTCCAAAGCAGCGTGCAGTGGGGCACACAGGTCAGTGAGGTCACAGTTCACACAGTTTGACAGTGCAAACCCAGAAACTACCTCTGTGAGTGTGTGACAGCTCTGGCTCTACGGGACCTCAGCCGGGGCTTCGGCCCTGTGGGCGGGGCCACCGGGGGGTAAGAAAGGCCGTTTATTTTCACACAGACAGAAACATTCACTCCATAGCCACTTTATTACAGACACCTACACAATCTAATGCAACCCAATATAACACACTCTCCCTTTACGAAGATCAGAATGACTTTCGGAGATTTAATTCAACTATATGTTTATTATTGAGGTCGTAAGTCGTGGTGATGTACTGGACTGTGTTATATAGTTTGTGGGTTGGGCAAAACATTAAAAAACACCTCTGAATAAAATGCCGTCCAGCTCAACACGTCTGCAAATAATAACCTCAATAACAAACATTTAAATGAAAACCTCTCTGACGGTGTCAATCAAAAAGATTAAATTGCATTAAATTTTACAGGTGTACCCAATAAGGTGGCCTCCGAGTATATTACAGCTGAATACTGAATCTGCACATGTACATAGAGTGCTAGAATATATAATAATCATATGGGTAAAATCATAAAAAAACAAAAGAAAAGTAACAAAAAAATCGACAAAAATCAATAGAAATAACTGATCAATGACACAAATAAAACTGGGTATGAATGTGGGTGAGAACCCATGATGCTTTGCAGCATACTGCATATATACCTGCGGCCGCTGGCATCCCGCAGTACAGCTGCCCCCGGGTCTACCGCCCGAGCCTCCAGCTCCTGCACCTCCTCCAGCAGAGACTTCCTCACAGTGCGCCGTGTGCTGCACAGCAGAAATAAGCTCATCAGACCCAGGAAGGAAAGTTTGAGTGTTTTACTTTGCAGACACATGTGATTCATAATATATAAGTGTGCGTAAGTGTTGACATAGACTCCATGTGGGTTATGTAAACGCCTCGGTTAAGTTAAATAGCCTCTGTATGGATTTCCCCATGTATTTATGTTAAATGTGTTCTACTTACGTGGCCCAGGCGAAGTCTTTGACTAAACACGCGGTTGGCACCAGGACCAGGCCCAGCCAGAAGTACCAGCACTGCATCACCTTGCCAGCCTGCAATGACACCACACAGGCTCCATTTATTTCCCTCATAAATTAATTCAAATTGAGTATTAAGTAATTTTTCTCGGCAACGAGCGCCGAGAAACCTGTGTGGGGGAAAAGGCAAAGAGAACTGTGAGACAAAAGCACATTGAGAGCCATTCAAAGCAGAGTTAGCGAGAGCTTTCCAAACAGTATCGACACCACAAACTGGATTCATCACAAGATTCCCACAGCCGAAACTCAATGCTTCCATGGTAACAGGTAGAAATGATAGTGAGTAACCACAGACTACCCCTACTTACCCTGCAGTCCAGCTGCAAACAGCCTTATTGACCTTTGACCCTCATCTTCAGCCTGTCTCCAGGGATCAATCATGCATCTAACCGCTGTCTCAGTTTGTCCGTCTGTCTGCAGGCCTGACTCCTACACATCTCTTCCTCATGTGGCTTCCTCTAATCTTGCTCTTTCACAACTTCATTCATTATTAGCGACTCTATCTTCTGTTGCTTGTCCTCGCCTGTTACTGCAAATCCCTCAATTTCACCCTTTATTTCCCAATATCTCCCCCTTCAGTTATCTGCTTGAGCTCTGTGCAGTTTCACAAGCCCAAATCTTTTGTCTCTAGGCGTAGACGTTTAAGTCAACAGTCGCAAGCATTTCATGCGCCATAACGTACTTAACTTCAACTACTTTATTGCCCGTATCGCGTGTTTCCTGTGTCCTGTGCTTTGATCCAGAAATATAGAGACAGTTTGGTTCCCGGAGGAAAAAAGGAACCGGGGAAAATTAATCGGACAACCGTGAGGAAATATCCTCTGCAGCAGCTGGAATCACATCTAAGTCACAGACGATCCAACTGAACTCAAACATACTCGATGTCTTTCTGTGTGAGACAAACAATTCATTTCAACAGCCCTGGACACGCATTATATCACATGGTCTTCATACACTCTGAGGATAAAATAATGCTTTATGATTTTCTCTGCTTTTTTCATATCCATAGAAACAGACTGCTGGTCTCAAACACCGCTTTACAATCAACACAAATCAACACACAGAGCTGGACCCACATAGGGCATTAATTCCCACATGAAGAAGCGTACGCACACAGTTACTCTGAGCAGAAATATACAGCTCTTTTCCATCCGCTGTCCCCCATGGACAGATGGAAATACAGATAGCAGGAACAGGGGAAATAAGAGAGGTAATAGGGTAGTTAGGGGGGGGACAATGGAGGGTTGGGGGTGAGTGTCTCTGACCATTCCCCAGTTAGACCGAGCAGCTGCAGAGATATTTGACCGCATTCCTGATTTCTGACACAAATTGAATTAATGAGCTGTGGGGAGTTTAGACGGCCCCATTCTCTTCCCCTCCCCAAGACTCTCTACCCACTCAGTGGGGCACCTCAACTCAACTCACCCCCCCCACCCGCCAGATCCCCAAACTCTATGAGTCTCTCAATCAAGGGGTCCCCATGTACACTCTCTCCCCCCCTGGATCTGCATCACCACCAGCAGCCCACCCTCTTGAGTCAACACCTCCACAGAGGGCAGTAAAAAACTGGGGCTCGAGTGACACGCAGCAGGTGCAGGAAGCCTGGTGAGTGGGGCTGGCGAGGCATAAATCTCCCCAAGGGCTCCAGCAGTGCCCATGTGGAACACCCAAGAGGTGAGTCTCACAGGCGCCATGTATCGGCAACCGAGAACAAGGGCGGGGCAGGTGATGGAGGTCGCAGACAAGAGATGTAGGAGGAGGGGCTATTTTGACCCCTCTGTTACTGAAATGAGTGACACGTGCTTCTGGAGAAGGGACTTGCCTGGCCCAGCATGTCGGGGGCGATGGGGATGGAGGGCCAGATTGCAGAGTAGACGGCGAAGAAGACCATCCAGAGCGCCATGCTTCCCCATACCGCCAGGTGGGAAAACTACAAGAGAGAGCGAGAGAAGAAGAAGGAAGGCAAATAAAAAAGGGGAGCCGATGGAGATTAAGAGACGGAGCAAAACGACAGCATAAGGTCAAATAGTTTACATACAGCTCTTCCGAATATACACAACCTGTCCCTCACTCCTTCCCATAGCTTCGTCCTGCTCCCTGTGATCCGCTGAAAGGGGACACTGTGTGAATTCCAGTGGGACCCTGCTTCATTACTGCCAGGCTGTTGTGTGGACAGCTGAACGGACAAAAGTGTCAGCGCCCTCCTGTTCATCCTGCCAATCTCTCTATCCAACAGCAGGAAGGAGCCAAATCTTGTTGCCGTCACGGCCCTGAGCTGTCGTTCTCCTCGTCTACATCCAGCTCTGCTAACTTTGTGTAGTCCAGAGTTTGGATATCCCTGCTAGAAACTGCCGGTTTTTATTGGGATTCCATGCTTGAAGTTAGCTAGCTAGAGCCGTTAGCGTGTGGCGTGCAGTAACTGCGTTTTGGAAACATGAGGACGAGGGCCACGTAGCTATTTACCTTTAAATTACTATTTTAAATTACTAGCTGCAATGTCAATACATAAGCTACCATGACATTGTGGTTGTCGCATTGCTGATGGGACGGCAGTATGCCCTGAAATTTAATTCAAAAGTCTATACAGCTCAACATTTGACAATATAGAGATGAGTATAAAATATATATTTCTCAAGACTTGAATAGGAAATTCTTTGGGAGGAATGGGGCCATCTGGGCTCTCAGTTAACTATGTTAAATTGAATCTGTTTCGCTCTTGTGTTTCTGTATTTACTCTTATAACAGATGGTAATCTCACTGTTTTCTGGTCTGTTTTTCTCCTTCGCTGCATTAACACTGTCCATTCCATCCTTGAATATCTCTTCAGGCATATTTAAAAGCTCTTGCAGCTGCTTCCCATTAAATGCCTTTGATTGACTTGAATGGTTTCTTGAGTCTTAATGCATTAACATTTGGACAATTTGTTTTGGACACTGAGTTTATTGTAAGTGGATAAGTTTAAAATATTGAACAGGAGCCACGAGTGAGAGGGTTGTTTGGTGTAAGCAACTGGTTTAAAAAAAAACAACTCAAACCTCCACCATGACATCAAGGTACATCACATCTTTTCCCACGTCTATGCAGAATATGAAGCCTTTAGACCGGGATGTATGAAAATCTCACACTGGAACCCTCACAGAGTGCC